TATACCCTAGGAGTTACTTAGTTAAGCTTCTAAACTTCTCAAGTTGACACAGTGAATCAGCCGTAACAGGAGGTTTCAGTTTCCTTTTTCTAAGTAAATTAAGGATTACCATATATTTCTTTTGTATAAAGAGAACATATGATAGACAGTAGAAAATTGAGGACAGTATCCCAAAACTATGTAATCTAATCCTAATTTTGATTTTGTGAAATGTTCCTACTCTGATTTTGTTGACAAATTTGACTTCTTTCTTTAGCTTAGCCGCAATCTTTCTTTCAGTCTTCCTATTCTCTTGTTTTTAAAATAGTTATTAGCAGATGGAATGACTTTAGCTTCACCAACTTGCAGAATTTCCACAGTGGTGACCAAGAGTTCAGGAAACTGGATATATATATGGAGTAGAGGGTGAGCAAGTAGGTTAAACAGTTTACTGTGTAAGATGATTTATGTAAGGATAGGCTTCTCTTTGCATCTCTTTTTATAAAGCCATGGTTCAAAGGAGTGTACTGTTCTTAAACGTTTAAACTTTCAGCAGTATTTGAGAGTCTAGATGTATAATATATCAAGGTGTAAGGCTAAATAAGAATAGATGGAGATGCCGGGTGTGGTGGCGCACTCCTGTAATCCCAGCACTCAGGAGGCTGAGGCAGGAGGATCGTTGTGAGTTTGAGACCAGCCTGGGCTACAAAGTGAGCTCAAGGCCAGCCTGAACTGCATAGTGAGACCCTGTCTCAAAAAAGACAAAAAAAAATAAAAAAGAATAGATGGAGAAAGTCAAAGGAAAAATTACAGACATTGAGCATGATCATCTCTACATGCCATAATGAGGCTGACCTAACTTTTGGTTTAATATTAGAAACTTTTGGTTTTTGTTTTTGGTTTGTTTGTTTGTTTTTTTTTTTTTTTTGCTTTTGTTTTGTTTTATTTTTTCTTGAAAAAGGAATACTCATCTAAATGCAGGGCTCATGAATGCATAAAATAGTTACCCTTGGCCGCCAGGGGAAGGGAAGGGAAGGAAATAGGACATTTCTGGAGAAATGTAAGGGAATATGCTTATATCCTCTATTATATTTTGGTCATTTTTGTCTAATTATATGCTACAGTAAGTTACCAACTTAAGAACAAGTTCCATTATGGGAGAACATTCCTTTAAAGTCTGACAATGTGAGTCTTCACACCTTTGACACAGATATACCACGTACATTGCTCTGCGCTTCCCAGCATCCCCTCCACATCACCACTGCTTCTCCTCTTGCTTCCAGACACCCTGGGCTCTGACTGAGCACTGCACTACTGCTGTACACTATCGCACGGTGCAGTAAGCACACAGCAGCTGGACTGTGTCAGTGCCCGGTATACAGATGAGCTACTCCTGCGATTTGTTCCCATCTATGAATGTTTATAATCCCAAGACCATTTGTATCTGTGAAAGTTGGCTAGTAAAATGTTCATAAGATGGGGGCTCACTTAATAATTTTCCTTCAAACAACACAATTGTGATATGGTGCTCATAAATGTACTTAAAATTTTTAGAGAGATTGCATTCTATGCATTTGTACTTCATTATTTTCATACTTATTAAGTAAGGTGTAATTTCTGATTCTTAGTAACATTAATACCATTTACTAATTATACTGATCCTACAGTTTTATACATGCTAAAACTGTAGATATTTTGGGACTCAAGCCCCAAAGGTATTTTCATTCCAAGGCACTTAGTGTGATGAGACTTAACTAAAAATGCATTAGTATAAGATGTTTATTATTGTTTCTTCTTTCTCCTCAATCCTTTCTTTACAAGTAACTGTCGACAGTAGTCAGAATGTTGGCAGTGAATAAAGTCAGATCGCCTTCTGTAGATTCCCATATTTAACGGAGCTATTTTTTAGAGCAAGTAGATACGATGTACACAAGCAAATAGGACTCAGAGTGTTCCTGCCATCAGACTTCTGTGGTGCTTTCCCCCTTCTAAGACAAATGAAAGCCCAGAAACAGTATCTTAGGGTAGTCCTTGAGAAGGATTCAATGAGCAGGTGACTCAAGCCAAGAAGCCCATGAGAAAAAGATACTTGAAGATGAGCAAAAGTGAGAATGCAGTCTGCATATCCTGTCCAAGAAAAGTGTGTGAGCTGGGAATCTAAGCAAAGTAAAAGTATTCATAAAATACAGTTTACTTTTAAAAGTCTAGTCAGTCTAATATATTTATCCCTATAGTTGGAGCTCATCTCAGTATTTCTTAACATTTAGTAAGTCATTTCTGCATATGCAGATGTATTTAGAATAGAATCATATTCTGGACCCTTCTTATTATATCATAGATATTGTGGGAATAATTAGGAAAAATATATTTTCTCATTTTATTAGAGACAGTAAACATCAAGAATCTTTTTTTCTTCGTTTTGTGTTTGTTTTTGAGACAGGGTCTTGCTATGTAGTTCGGTCTAGCCTTGAACTCACTATGTAACCCAGACTAGCCTCGAACTCATGGTGATCCTTCTGCCTTAGCCTTCTGAGTGCTGGGATTTTAGATGTGCACCACCATGCCTAGCTGTGTCAAGATTTTTTCCTTCGAAAGTCACTGTATTTTTAAGATAGTGGTTATAAACAAGGGGAAGAATGGGACTACTGTGAAATATTTCATGAGGTAGAACACTTTACCAATATTGTTAATATTTTATAGGATGTTGGGTACCAAATTAATTTGGATACTTTTTTTTGTTTACATTATTTTTAATTGTTAAAAAAATTTCTCCTTGTGAAGTACAAAAACCTGTCCCATGTATTATATTAATGAAATGTCTTAAAATTTTTATTTCAAAGGACACTCACTGCTTTTAAGGACAGTGATATGTATACTTTCTAATTCTTAGCGTACTTGGAGCTGCTAGTCAGAGTATCACTTCTGTTTTGCCGTAATATTTATGTAATGTGGCATAAAATTTCAAGTTTGTACTATGTGTGGTAGGTAAATAGCAAATGTCACAAGCTGTTTGGCTCAGATTTGCACCGAGCTCTGAAAGTACATTCTGCACAGTGTTTGTCTTCATGATGACTTATGTTCTTGTGAAAATTAACCCATTTTGTAAGACTGCATGTCAATAGTCCCTTGGAACTGAGTGTCAGCTACTTCTTTTAGCCAGGATACAGTGGTCCCAATTTCCCACTCTCTGTGTTCCCTAATACTGATGTCAAAAGTCACTTCCTGTTTATCATCATAAGTGTGTTAAGTAGTTGTCACCTATAAGCATTTTAATTTATGATGGTTAGATTATATTCAGTGGATGTTACAATCTTCTGTTAACATTTGGCTGTGATATTTTTAATTCGTTCTCATATATTTTCAATACTTTATAAAGCATGCTTGCATAATTATCCCTCTAAAAACATAAGTACTCTGTTTTTGTTTATCAATTCCTCCTCTCATATCGTTTTTTCATTTTATCAACATAATATTTCTGAAGCGTGATTCCTCCTGTCCAGCCTTTCTGCTACTACTGTCACTTAGGCCCCCAGCTTCTCATTTGGACCTGTTTAATTGCCACTAACTGATCTCTTTGCCTCTAGTCACATTCTTTTTGCTTCATTCTCAGGTATGCTGCTAGAATGCTATGTCAAAGTGCAGGTCAGATCACATCATCCCTCTGTTTCAAGTTTTCACCTTCTGTGGCAGCTATTGACAAACTTTCTCTTAAAGGTTCGGATGGTCAGTTTAGATTTTGTTGATTGTAAGGTGTCTGCTACCAATACTCTGTTATTGAGTTGAGCTCAAAAGCTGCCATAGACAGTGTATAAACAAAGATCCTGGGTAAGTTCCAATAAATTACAAAACCAGCCTTCTGGGCCAGGGCTATAGTTTGTTAACCTCTGTTCTGTGATACTAAAGGCTCTCCCTGTCTTTTCACTTGTCTCATCTACCACTCTCTTCTTGTTTCTTAGTTTTTTTGGAAGCACCATTCAAATTCTTAAATTTCTTCTGAACATAGTGCATTCTTTCTATATTCAGTTATTTAAATCAAGTATTTTTTATCAATAGCAAAATATTCAAGTATATTGCATGTTAACTCTGAAATTATCATTTTTACTTTTTGTTTAGTTTACTCAGGTTACTTATCTAGTTTCTTCCTGGCATCTTTATAAATATGCAGGTAAGTACTGTCTTAGCTTCTGAGACTTAAAAAGATCGGTTTTTGATAAACCTTTCAGAAAAGTCATGACCTTGATACAATCCATGCTATAGTTTGGATACCATTAATAATACAGTCATCTGAAAATCTCAGAATGAGGTTTCTGGTGGGAAATAGTTTAGTTTCAACTTTTCAACCATACTGAATTAAGGTTCATTGAGAGAACAATTTTAGGACAGTTAGTGCAAACTAAAAAGTGTGTAAGTTACATTCTATTCTATCTTCTTCCCCATTACTCCTTTTAAATTAAATTAGAAAGGCAGGAAATATTTGGTTTTTGGGGTCTGACTTAGTAAGAGACTTCAAATTGCTACTGTAAATTCTAGTAGATCACTCACATTTTTCCACATACAAGGAAATAATTGCTTGAGAATGTGTTGTTAGAGGAGGGTTAGCTTTATTGTTCAATCAGCAGTTACTTACGTTATTACATAATAACATAATGGAATAATGTTGTATAGAAAACAAACTTCCATTAAAGAAAAGAACTTTAGGCTGGGGATATAGCTCAATGGCACAAGCACCTGCCTGGTAAGTGCAAGGTCCTGAATTTGATTCCCAGTACCCCCCCAAAAAAATTAAAGAAAAGAACTTTATTCATTCTTCAATCATATTTTTAATCATAGTTGTTGAAAAATATGATTTGACAATGGTAAGAGTAGATTAGTAGTATTATTGTGATGGAACTTCGTTAAGGTTTAGATGGTTGTTAATACTGACTGTGATAAAATTCTCTATTTTTTATGTATAATAATGAACTAATTTAAAGCTACATTTATTAGAACTGACCTATAAATGTTTTATGATTGATTTTTAGCCACCAGCAGAACAGGCCAAAGCCAGACTGCAACTAGTTCTTGAAGCTGCTGGTAAGTGTTGTCAAATGAAAGGTTGTAGCGTATTTATAGGTGAGTCAAAGAAAAAATTTATATTTTTATTAGTCCTTACAGATTTGTAAGATATGAATGATACCATATTACTTGAAGTATATATTATTACAGTATAATTCTAAATGGTCATTCTTTATATTTTTACTGGTAAAATTTGTATTTAAAACTTCTTTTGATGAATTCAGATTTATTGATTTTACCTCTTTTGGGCTGTACTTGGGAGGCATGTGTTCTTTGACTCAACCTATATGGTTTTCTTCCTATGTTTTCTTCTTTATACTTTTACATTTTGTATTGAAGAGTGAGACCCTTTGTTATTTTTTGTAGAAGGTATAGTAACTAGGTTAAGGTTTTCCTTGTTTTAGAGGAAGTGAGGTCAGTGTCAATAATAATTCCTTTAGTTATTCTGGAGTAACTCTTTGGGCTATATATTCTACATACCACCTAATCTTAAAATGCTGTAGGTTTTATTTCTGAGAGGTAAAATAATGATATGTCCTTGATTTTAGATATCATGTTCAGTTTCATGTAGGCACTAATTTACCTTTTATTTGTTTTTTTTTTGTTTTTTTTTTTTTTTTTTTTTTTTTTTTTTTT